TGAGAATTTACTATATCTTCTACTTTATGTGGATGACATGATTTTAGCAAGTCGTTACATAAAGGAAATAGAGTCAATCAAAGACAAATTAAAATCTAAATTTGAAATGAAGGACATAGATCCTGTTAGAAAAATTTTGGGTATTGAAATTAAAAGAAATAGAAGAGAGGACACACTAAGTCTAAGTCAAAAGTCTTATTTTTGAAAATACTTGAAAGATTTGCAATGTTTGATGCTAAAAATGTGAGTTTACCTTTAGCAAATCACTTTAAATTATCTAATAATCAATGTCCCAAAACTGAAGATGAGTTTAAAAGAATGGCTAGAGTGTCATACTCTAATGCTGTGGGGTCGGTTATGTATCTGATGATTTGTTCTAGGCATGATTTGGCATTTTCAATAAGTGTATTGAGTTGATACATGTCCAATCTTGGTGAACTTCATTGGGAAGCTATGAAATAGCTTCTTAGATATATTAAAAGGACTTGTGACCTAGGAACTGAATATAGAAAACAATCTGAAGGTGTTATCTTGAGGGGTTACACAGATTCTAATTATGCAGGAGAGAGGGATAACAGAAAAATCAACTTCTGCCTATGTGTACACATTTATGTAATTCCTGTATAAGTTGGAAATCACAATTACAAAAGATTGTTGCATTATCTTCAACTGAAGCAGAATATATAGCTGCAACTTATGCAATTAAAGAGAGAATTTGGTTAAAAGGACTTTTAAATGAATTTGGCTTTACAAATGATGTTGTCTTACATTCTGATAGCCAATTTGCTATATATTTAAGTAGAAATCATGTGTTACATAACAGATCAAAACATGTTGATATGAAATTTCATTTTATTAGAGATATAATTTCTCAAGGCGTTATTAAACTTGAAAAGATTTCTACACAATTTAATCCTGCTAATGATGGAACTAAAGTGCTGCATTTAAATAAGTTTTTGGACTGTTTAAAATAGTTGAATAATAACTTTTACTGATTTGTGTATCAGGAATAAGCGCAAATGATGTCAAAACTAGAGAAATCACTATAAATGAACTTGGAATCATTGTACCAAGGTGGAGAATGTGGAGAAATTGTGGCACAATGATGGGTTGCCTTAATAACCTGTTGGACCCTCTTAAAATTGGACTTGTGGACCGAATTATTAAGAGATAAATTGGATGTTTTCTTTGGCAAAAGTCGTGTACTAAAACACGCTTTCTCTTAATTTTGAATGAATGCTTGTGATCTTGCCAAATGTCACATTATGGATCCTTGGATGAGAAAATCTTCTAGGGTCTTTGATACTTAATCTTGCACTAGGGTTTGAAGATGCAGCCAATTCATTTTCTTCTCCACTGCCTCTCGAGTTCTCTCTTTGAAAATTTCATCTTATATTCTCTCAATTTCTAAATCTGCCCAGAAAGCTTCATTCGACATGAATATTTGCCTTTGTATTAATCTTGAGTGATTTTATAAGGTGTATTGGTACCATTCTTGAGTGAACGGCCACTATCGATGTAGTGAGGCTTATGTAGAAATTATCTTGAGTGATATTTCTGAGTGCCACGAGTTGTATATGCGGAACAGCTTCTTGATTCAGTTGATATAGTGATTTTCTTCTGGTTTGACAGAAGCTCAAAAGGGGATTAGAAACGAAGTTCCGAACCTCTTGCCTGATGACGAAAATCCTGTGTTCTTTTTGTGTTTTGTGCAATTTTTCTTCATTTTCAGTTCTTTGTGGTATATTACTTTTCGGTTTTTTGTTGATTTAAGTGAGCTGTTTTTGTGAACTTATTGTTACAACGAATTATTGATTCCTTCAATAACATAGTTTTAAACCCCAAAAAAAAAATAATAATAAAATAAAATAAAATAAAATAAA